CCCTTAAGCTGTAGATGGGACATTTTGTCATTTCCTGCATCTTTTTCAGGCTCTTCTTTCCTTCCAGATGCTCTTGTAATATTAGGTTTAAATCTCTGTCGACATCCTCTAAGTACTGTCTTTACAGCTGCAGTTTTTTCAGGTTCTCTGCAAAAAGGATCCAGAACAGTGACATTTACTACAAAATATTCAAGCCTGTGTATATTCAGCGACTTGCACAGCGTTTTTTACTGGAATCTGATTGTCTTTAGAATGATTTGCCCAAATTTAGGCAAGTTTCTTCACATGAGAAACAAATTTTGTTTAGTCTTACAGAGTGTGGAAACTCAGTTTATCTACTTACTAAAAAGAGATTAATTTTTCACACAGTGTAGGACCTTACCTAGACTGCATACTTGTATCTGCCTCTGCAAGTATCAGAAGCAGAGCCTTTAGCTGACAACAAAGATTAGGAGGAATGCAAAACCATAGTTATCAATTCCCGCAATTTCCCCTTTCAAATTCCAAGCACAGTTGGTACTTCATAAAGTAATGCTTTTCTCAACTTTCCAGAAAAGAAATACATACCTTCTACCACAGTGCCACCTGATATCATCCAAGAAAATGCTGAAGTCAATTTTAAGATTTATATTAAAACTTCACCGCTATTGTTGTCTTTTCATAAGAGCATTGTATAGAATAAATTAACAATTATATTTAGTTAATTCCAGGAGACTGGAGAAGTGACCTCAATACTTACTCAGATTCATTACCCAAATCTCTGTTCTCCACTTCTGTGGCTTCATTTCTGTTTCTTCTTCTACTGTCCTCCTCAGAGCACTGGAATTGAGGTAAGAAATATTACCCTTTGAGAAGTGTGTAGATACCTCAGCAGCATTTCTTAAAATACTACTTATGTAGCCGTTCCACAGCATCAAGAACATAACTATTAAGTAACACGGCTCCCTCTGACCTTTTCTTCTGTATTCTCAGGGTTTGGAGAGGAAGCTTCAGACTCCATTTTGTCTTGTGCTGCTGTCTCCCTCCTTCCAGATGATCTCATCAAATTGGGTTTAGGTCTTTGCAAGCGCCTTCTGTCTGCTGATTTTTCAGTTTTCCTTAAGACATAAAAAAGAGGTGGTATAGATGCTTACCAAATATACACATGAAGTTTTATACGGTCCAAGATGCGCTTGAAGAGCATCACAGACTGCATGAGTCAAGACACTGCATGCAGCAAGAGAATAAACAGAAAAAAAATTTCATCTTTTTGATATTAGAAGACATGCTACAACTTTATTGAAAGAACATCAAATAAACCTTAACAACTTTGATGGCTTTCAGTGAATCTACTTAAAAATACCTGAAGGAAGCATTTCATGCCATTAAATAAATAGGAATACCTTTTCTCCTAGGGATTCATGTCAATGAATCTCCTAGGGATTCACAATTAATGTCAGTGTGAACAGGCTTATTGGGTTTAATAGAAACAACAGAAATCTGCTCTATATACAAAATTTTCTCTCTGCCTCTCCTGTCCCTCCAAGCCATTTCAAAGCTATCTCAGCCATGGAACAGTGAACTGCTGTTTTCAAACACCTAGTCCTACTGCCAACATCCACACATTACTGAAGAATGGGGTACATACATCACTCTCTGTGTCCTTAACCATTGCAGTGGTGTATCTGGGGATTCACACAGTGACAAAGCCTTGCATCTTACCAACTATCTTCAGATCGGGAACTACTACCTTTTCTTATATTCTTCCTAGGGCAGGACAAATAAAGCTTTGATGGTCTTTATCAGAAGAGCCCTTCCAAATGGGAAAGACAGAAGCATGAAAACCAATTTAGCATGAACTAGTAGCCCATCCATAAATCACCTTTAAAAATTATATCATGGAATAAGAAATTGATGATCACGCAAAAAAGGAAAACTTAAGGCACAGACTTCTTTAAACACCACTGCTCAGTGTAAGAAATAGTCACAAAGATTAACTTCATAAAGGAGTGCAAGCAAGACAGAGACATCTTGGAGTATCTTCTTCAATTCTTGCTCTGAGCTCCAAAGAGCAACAGTGTCCAAACAGGAAGGAAGGAATACACCATAAACATAATCCATACAGTTAATAAGCTTTGATGGACAATTATGAATGTCAAAGAATTAAGTGAGGTCCTTTCATTAAAAAAAACAAAATCAACTTTCACAAGCAAGCTTCACCCACAAAGTAGCAGAAATTCATCTCTTGTTCTTGCTGACTTCGGATAGGCTAGATTTCTTTTTCTAAACTTAGTTAAGTCTTCCTCCCTGTTCCCATCTAACATTTAAGTTTTAGTCCAATGAATTGCTCTTCAGTGATCAAAATTTCTATCAAAAAACTTCATCATATACGGAAAACACGTTATCATGATTTCTCTTCTAGTTCACCTTGCTATGGTCAAGCAGAATTATATCCAAATTGAGTAGACACAGATTTATTTCCAGTACCACTGCAAGGTAAGATAATTCTACTTACATGATTTCAGACTGAGAACCACGCTCTGATGCACTTTGCTTTTCATCTGGTCTATGTGAGTGATGTATGTCTTTGTTCTGAGTAAGAAAAAAAATGTTGTAGAAAAGAAACAATAAACTTTTACTGTAAAGAAGAGCAGAAGCAAGATTCCTACAATGGTTGAGGCTGGAAGGGTCTGCTAGAGGTCTTCTGGTACAACTCTCTTGATCGAGCAGGGCCACCTGGAGCTGGTTGCCCAGTGCCCTACATCCACACAGCTTTTCAGTATTGCCAAGGATGGAGACTCCCCAGTCTCTCTGGGCAGCCTGTGCCAGGGCTTAGCACCCCTCACAGTGGAAAGGTATTTTCTGATCCTCAGAAGGAACCTCCTTGTCTTCTATTTTTTGCCCATTGTCTCTTGTCTCTTGTTCTGGCACTGGGCACCACCAGAAAAAGCCTGGGTCTGTTGTGTTCACATCCTCCCTTTAGGTTCTTATGCAGCTACTGAAGATCCCCCTGAGCCTTCTTTCTAGGCTGAGCCATTCCTGCTCTTTCAGCCTTTCATCTTACAAGAGATGCTTCAATCCCTTTGCCATCTTTAAGACCCTTGGACAGGCTGTGTCCAGTATGGCCGTGTCTCTCCTACCAGGGAGCCCAGAACTGGTCAATATGCCAGGAAATGCTTCTCCTAATGCAGCCCAGCTGTTTTTTCAACTCTGAGACTACCAAGACCCCCAGGTTCTTTTCTGCAAAGCTGCTTTCCCCCTGCTTGGCTTGCAGCATGTGCTGCTGCCTTGGGTTGTTCCTCCCCAGGGGAAGGACTTTGCATCTCCCCTTGTCCAACTTCCTGAGGTTCCTGTCAGCCCCTTTCTCCAGGTCCCTCTGGATGCCAGCACACTCTGCTGGTGTCTCAGCAATTCCTTCCAGATCTGCCTCATCTGTAGACTTGCTGAGGTTACACCCAGCCCCATCCTCCAGGTGATTTAGGGCAGTGTTGAACAGGATTCGACACAGTATTGACCCACAGGGTACACTCCTAGTTACTGGTCTCCAGCTGGATTTTGTACCATTGTTCACAAACCTCTGAACCCAACAATTCAGACAGTTTTTAGTGCACTTCCTTGTCTGCTCATCCAGTCTATGGTTCATCAGCTCCCTTACAAGAGGATGTTAGGGGAGACAGACAGTGATAGAAGCCTTACTGAAGTCAGGGTAGACACTCTTTACTGCTCTCCCTTTCTTTTGTACTTTCTAAGATGAAGAATGATCTTAAGGGGAAAGTTTGTGGTGAGATATTAGGAAATTCTACATGTTAGTGTTTCCCTAATGCAACAGGCGAATTATTTGTTCTTTAGCCTTTTAGATATGACATTCCAAAAATTACAATGAAACCGGGATACAAGAATTATCAAGGGAATGGAACTTTCTCTGTATGAGGAGAAATGTAGGATTAAAACTTTTCACCCTGAAAACAATATTGTTAGAGAGAGGGAGACACGGCATTATAAACAAGAATAGCTTGAAGATGAAGAAGAATATCATAAAGATGAACAGGAACTTAACAACGGAAGTATCGTGCATATTAAACTATCATGCAGCATGCTTAAAACAATCCAAAGAATACCCTTTTTTAATTAAGTAAATAATTATCTCAGCTGTGGTATGCAATTCATCACAGAAGTACTGGTAGATGCAAAAAAAGCAGCTAGACAAAGTCATGAGTAAGTGGTGCATCAAGGGCTTCAAAATAAACCAGATGCAATCCCAGAAGTTTCTAAACTGCTGGACCTCATTAGAACATACCTGAGGAGAGATCATTCAATCTTGGTCGAGTTTCCTATATCATTCCTGGAACACCCCATGATAGCCAGTACAGTGGACAAGAGTTCACAGAGGTTTCCACTCTGAGGCAGCACAAACAACCTAATGCTGTCCCCCCTCAAATAAGTTTCCAACATTGTACTAGTAAGCGTATGCCAGCAAAATCCTGCTCCAGGGTTTAACTGTTCACTTTGCAATGCTTCACTTTTGGATAATTAAACTGTTCTGCTGTTTTATTTGTCTATGACAAGCATGCACAGTATACTCTCTGAATAAATTTAGGTTAACAGACAATCCATTAAACCCAGCCAAACTGATACTATTTAAATTCTGATGATGTTCTTAGACCTGATGACTTTTGTCCACCCAGTGGTGAAATCATCACAAAAACAATAAAAAAATGGCTTTGATTTAATTTACAAATCTTTTCTAATGATAATGGGCAATGTCTTGAGAAGAACTACATAAAAAATAAAAATACCTTTGTTTCTCTAGTTTCTTCAGATTGCCTCTCTTGGCTTCTAATCTTTGAAACTGGTAACTCTGAAATCTGGCTTTCCTGTGATGTATCGTCTCTAATATCCCCGGTTCTCGGTTTAGCTGATTCTGTTTCTAATATAACACTGTTGACATCTTCAAAGCTGAAATAAATAAAAGCGTACAGCAACATTAGTGTATTTTTAGAAAAAAAGCTACTAGTGTTTACAGATAGATCAAGTTGCACAGAAAAACAATGCAATTTCGACATAAGTATCTATGTTTCAGAGAATCTTACAAGTTTTAGTGGTATTTGCAGAATAAGAGCTTTAAAACAACTTTTGTACTTTTGCACTGCTATTATAAAATGATGTTTAAATCTGATCTGATTATTCTAGACTAGATTGTTTTTAAAAAACAAACTTTAACAAGAACAGTGTATGCAGAAGCTTCTTTCCTCTCATCCTTTGGGACCATCTATGCTGAGTTCAAAGGCAAATAGCTGTTCCTTCATATGTTTCTAATGAAGTATTAAAGGACATTGTTATTTTATACAGATTCTCAGAAACTTTAATCGCAATACAGCTAAATAAAACTAACATGCAAGACTCTCAAGTTGCACTCACAGTTTCATAATCAATTTTTACATTTACCACTTTCACATATATCAAGTCTAATAAATATTCACTTTCTTATAAGTAAAAGTATGCCCAAAATTGAACAAAACAAAAGATAGCCTCCCACTCAGGTTCTGCAAAAATACAGTCTAAGCAACGTTCCTTTTCCACAAGAACCATTTTATTAAAAACAGACAAATTTTTCAAGCATATAGCAACACTGCTTAGCAACATTATCAACCACTGCTTGAAGAGAAATATTAGGAGTTAGGATAAACCAATGCTCTTCCTAAACACTCAAAAAGAATGCAATCAGTTTTGTAAGTGACTTTAGTATTAATGTACATCAATTTTGCAAGTGCAGCCCATCAGGGCAGAGAATATTTTCATACGTTTGATTGTGTAAATCATAAACAGTTTACTAAAACCCAGGACAGTTCTCAGAAACCAAAACCCTGCACATTCTGTGGCAGTTAATATGAATAAATAAAACCAAAATAAATACTTTTAACTCTTTTATTTTGCCTAAGCTTTCCATTATAAACATTACCTGCATAAATCAACACCACCTTCTCTCTCCATTTGGTCGGTCACTGGTAAAAAGGACTCTGATCTCTCTTCCTCTGTGACAGCAGTTTCATCTTGTTTTCCTTCAATAGCACAATCCAGTTCTTCTCTACAAGTAGTATGACTGTCATTGCTTGTATCATGTACCACTTTTTTCCCTGAGAATTAACAAGAATTAAATCAATCTGGACATTCTGGGAAACGTCTTCGAATTCCAATTCTCAAATCCTAGCTGCAGTGAAGAAGAGTTAATTTAATACCAAAAATCCCAGTAGAAAAAGACCAAGTGTTAAGATTTAAGATAACTGTTCTCAGCTAAAATAGATTTTAGATTTAGTAAGAAAGCTGATCTTGAAAGGCATTGTTCCACAACCTCCGAAGGCAGATCAGCAACAGAAATTACAGACCAAATTCTCATTTTTTAAGTTCACAATGTCTTTGTATAAAATTTATATTTTAACGTTTGAGCATTTTTGCCTCTTACTTTTATTAGAGGATTTCCCTTCTTCAGCAATTTTTGAAGGGACAGACATTTCTTCTGGAATATTCTCTACCTCCTCTTCAAGATCATCTTTTCTCTTCTTCTTTCTCTTCTTTTTTGCTAATGCTTCTAACGCAACCTGTTCTTCTGCCTGTTCAGAAATGCCCAGAGATTCCTCATTTTCTTTCTCAGCCGTCACACCGTCTGCTTCTGTTTCTTCATCAGAAATTCTGGCTTCCTGAAGTTCATCTTGATCATCAGCAGCTCCTGTGCTGGCAGCTTTTGCTACTGAGACATTATGGTTCCTGGTTAATAGACTGGTGGAGTAATACACAGCCATAAACAGCACAGGCATTTTTATTAGCAACATCTTGTGTATTCGTACATCACTGCCAATATACTGCCAGACATATGAGCAGGACCATGAGAAGGCAGTCACTGACTTAACAGAAAAGCTTCAGCACAGATTAACTTCAACATTAAACGCAAAACACATTCTGTACCCAGGACACTTCACAAGGGGAAGGTCAATATGGGATGTAAAGCAAATTTAGTAAATGTTATTGCTCCTATGCTTTTTAGCAGATTACACAGTCACATTTGGATTCAGGGAAAACAGACGTTGCTATTCCAGAAAGAATAATCGTATCTCTGCAGAAAGAGGTGATGATGGTTGCAGAATATATGCCATGAAAACGTAATTTTTTACCATGAAATGTTTTGCAGTTGATCGTGCTTCCTTACATAAGAAAGTTGAAATATTGTCTAGCTAGTAACTGACAAGTTATTTTTTGGGTTTAATGAGATTCTAAAATTCTCTTCTCTACTGTTTTAAGGACATTTTGTCTTGATCCTGTATTTATGTAGAACATAAACCACCAAGAACCTTTCCTTGTCCTTTTCATTACTCTTAAATGAATTTGTTCCCCTGTAATTAAAACTCCAAAATGCAAGAGAAGTAGAAAAGCATACTCACATTGCTCTACACGTTAAGTACTTTTGATCTATCAATGAAGTGTACAAACAGAATTTCTCTATATGGCTGTTAAGTCCTAACAGATGGGATATTTTACTTAATCAAATCCAAAAACCAAGGCTATAGAAAATAGCAACTATTTCGATTTTAAGAACTAAACACTGATTTTGTTTCCTAGCTAGCATCCCCTTTAAAAGGGTTGTTCACTTGTTTTTTACACAATACCACTTAAAAAAGAATGGGTCCTTATGGAACAAACAAGTGAACAATCCCATAGAATTAGCACAATGTTTATGAAATGGTGTCACTATAACTGTTTTTAATTTAGGCACAAAGGTGAAAGGTCCTTTCCCAGGTACTAAAGTAATTAAGACACTGTTACAGTAATTAAACACGGTAATTAAACATAATCTTTATTTTGAACAGACAAGAAAGATAAAACAACTTTTATAAGAGTCTCTGAAAAGAAACACACTCTTCAGACTTAGGAAGTCAAACTACTCTTAAAGAAGAAACAGAACCCTCAAAAGAAGAGGGTTCCAAATGTAATTCATATCTAAAATAAATCACAGAAGAGCTTGCCAAAAATATGATTTTGGCTCAAGGATTCTACAAGTGAATTCATTAGCAACTTACAGAGATACTTATCAACTGGTAAATTAGAACAGCAGTGCTTCAGACTGCGAAAGAGCACTTATTTCACTGCAGTCTCACGTTTCTGCTGTTAGTAATTATTACCATCCCACACACCAGTAAACTACACCTGAAAAGTTATACTACAAGGCTAGGATCCTCTTGCCCCATTCACAACAGAGAAGGAAAAGATTCCCTATGTGATTTTTCATCTAGTAGCACATTACTGACCACTGTTCTGTAATGCCACCTCAAGCACTCTTTTAAAGTACCTTTTGACTTCTTCCGAGGCCTTGGTGACTTCCTTTCCTTTGGCTTCTGGCTTTTAACAGTCTTTTGTTTCCTCTTTTCCTCATCTGCTAAGACCTTCTCAAGCAGTTGGGCAAAGAATTCAAAATCAAAGGGTCGTTTTTCTTCTATCAGATTAAAGCAAAGAAATAGAACAGATTTCAAACTTCATGATTTTTTTGAGTTTCAGGTTTGTAAAATAATCAGTGACATGATATTAAAAAGCAACAGTTATATCAACAGAGTGTTCTTCTGAAAAATATCTTCTGTATCACTTGAGCAGGGACTAATGGTGACAAAAAGGCAACATGGATTATGGTAGATTGGTTTTAAAAAAAACCCCAAATTACAAAACTAAGTAGTTCAGAAAATTTAAGACCTGACAAATACTCAAATTGTACCATAGTATCAAATAATGTATTAACATGCTGCTCTAGGACATATGTACCTCATTCAATTAACAAAAAAATTCTTAAAGGACTCTCAAAGCAGTTTACAATAAATAACCTTGCTAGAAATTCCCATGAATCAGAATAACCTTCAACTGAATATATATACGAAAGTTTATATTAATCTCGCTAAGCAGACACCTAAAAAAGAAAATAAACCTCGAGATCTTCATTGTGAACCATGCCTGTTATAAAAACCTAAGATTCCACAGCTACTGGACTCACCTATGAGCAAAAACTTCCTTATAATTAATTCAAGCAAGGCAAAGTACAAAAATTACTCTGAAAATAGACTACCATTTAATGACTCATTGTAGGGTGGGGTACATTACTTACTGAAAGCTTTGTCTATTCTCCATCCATTAGCTTTTTCCTCACGTTTGAACTTGTTCTAAAAGCAAACACACGGTTGTCTTTTCGTTAAGCAAGAAATGTAACAGCATGTTATACAAAATGGCAGATCAAGATAAGCCTTCAATGCAAGCCAACTGAAGTTGCTGAATTTACATAGACACTCACAGAACAAAAGTTTGTAATTAATTTTTAAATATAAAATCTGTCACCAGTAGATATCACCAGATATACTGCTTTTATTACTTTCAACACCTCTGTCCTGACTTTCAATCTGAGCAAGGTTTGAAATATAATAGACTTCCCCAGCTGTATGCCACAAAAGAAACAACACTGAAGACCACCATCAAACAACCACTTATGCTTATCATCACTCTTCATTTAAAATAAAGACAAACTGTGTCTAACTATGCTAGATTTACTACATACATCGATCCAAATTCAAACAGCAAATAATGTTTCAGATGCTTACAACCTCTTGAAACAGGTATTAAAAAAAGCACTACTACAGACACAGTAGCATCAAAAATATCAATACTAACAGAGGAAGCATGGGAATGCAAATGAGAAAAAGAAAAGCAAAACCAGATGTTTAGTTGCTTTATTGAGTGCTTTAATTTTTACCTTGATTTCTGCTCTGGCTCTATGAGGAAACAGCCGTCCAATCAAGGAGAAGTCTGTTCCTACCATGCTGATAGCTAAAAAGAACATATCTGTTTCTAGAGAAAAACAATAAGAAAAAATATCATACGCATTTAAGCATTTACTAAACCATCCTCCTTGCTCTCAGAAATAAAAACACCTTGCAGACTTAATGCTATGAGATCAGTAACTTCAAGTTTACCTACCATAGCTGCAAGTCCAGGTGAGCTGGAGTATATCTGTTATTTTAGCTACGTATCTCTAGTAACATTTGCTGAATGAACTATCAACAGAAAGAATTGTCTAACATGCTAAAACTGCAGAGTGTGAAATATGTTTTGTAAAGCTAGTAAATCAAACTAACCAACCCCAAATTGTCAACGTCCATTTTTATTATGAACACAAGCACAAACAGAAATCAGAAAAACACCACGTAAAACACCACTATTATTTAATAGGAAAAGAGTGCACAGTCAATTCTTCCCAGAAGGAGCACAGTGAATTCTGAAGCTAAATTTTTCCATCTACAGGTGTAAAAAGTCCTTCCCAATTGTAAAAGGTCTAGCAATGGTGTTGTCAGCCTAGAGATAATAACCAATTCACAGCAGGAGTAATAAAAAAAGAAAAAACAAGCCACCCTCTCATAAGAACAGATGTCTATTTACACTGAAATCAGTCCAGAGATGCTTTCTGTGATTTATTCCTGCCCAGGTTGGAATAACCGAGTTAAAAAGTACTAACTGCTCCATATAGAGCAGTTGATCTGTACACCAGAATCAAAAATTATACTTTTGATAAAGCAGACTAGCATTTTTCAGCATTTTTTAGCATTAAACATCCATGACAGAAAAGAAAAAAATCACAGGTAGCCTATGTATAATATATAATAAGGCACTGGATTCTTTAAATATACCAATTTTCACAGTAAAAATCATAGCTCTTCTTGTTGTAGGAGTTGGGAGGGTTGACAGTACACGACACATAAGTAGATCCATTTACTCCATTAGGGAAAAAAAAGAAGTCAAGCATAAAGCATAGGTGGAAAAGCAAGACTTTACTGCAGACTTGAAATTTTAAACCAAAAATATACTCACCTTTATTTGACCACGGTTTTGTGTAAAAACTTTTCCTGAAGCTGGAATATGTAGTTGTAGAGCCACGCTCAAAGATGGGATCATTTTCTTCCACAACACATGGACCTTTTGTTCTTAGAACTTCTACAGTTAAGCTGGAATAGCAAACACACAAAGAGACTTATCTGAAAATATTGCTAAGAAGACACACAGCAGATGTTTGTAAGACAAATATTCAAATTTTTCATGCCACAAGCGAGCATTTGTACTTTGTAACTAAGTTTAATAATTACATTAACATGTACTTTAATGGGAGAATGCAGCAAGAAATCACTACCCTACTCAGCCTGTAAGTAAATTTGCTTTTTCCTTTTTATCGGTATAGTACAGATAGACATAATTAAGTATCTTTAAAAAAAGACTTCTTAACATTCAAGAAATTTATTTTGCAAAACCACAAGAGCCTCCCAACATCCTTCTAGAACACTTTCAAATTCTTTTACCAGGCCTGCTCTACCCTTAAACCTTGGCCTAAATCTCATGCTAGTAATACTTTTGGGGAACTCAATAATTCAATAATCTACTTTTTAAAAGTCATATGCTAAGCAAATTTTCTGAAAACACTCACAGAAGAATAAAGCAGCAACATGCAAAATGCAAAGCTGGAGCAAATCATACTGAAAACCAAGTAACAGTAAGCAGATACATGTTAACTCTAAGAAACAAAACAGTCAGTTAAACAGAAGACATTTGAAAGTTTGACAAATCCTCAGTGTTCGTTCTCTGTAATGAAATACATTTTCCTCTTTATCTCCTTCTCCAAAAACATTTCTTATAAAGTCTGCCGCTACTGAGATGCAGAGAACTGCTGCTCCTTTGCCACATACTTGCACTGTTTCCTAAGTAAGTGCATCTCAACTCTCAACACACAAATACATACTCATGCTTGCCCCAGGCCAAAGTAGAACTGTTCTCTATCCCCAAACTAAGCTGCAATGCAGTATGTATTGTCCATGAGACAGGCACAGGATTTGTTACCTTTCTTCATCCAGAATAATCGAACCATCTTCTGCCACTTTCACACGAGGAACTAGAAGTGGGCCATCCTGACTCTCCTCCCCATTTTCTTCTTCTTCCTCCTCCTCTTCTTCATGACCAAGAGTACTTTTCTCCTCCTGCCTACAATTTTTAAGACAACAAGCAAAAATAGTTTTGAATTGCTGCTCAGTATACCAGACATTTCACCAATTTAATGAACCACTCAGCAAAGCAACACATCAATGAGTTAGTCAATACATAAACTCTGAAATCAGCTTTTCATTCTATTGTAAAATGGAAATATGCACAAATGTAATACTGAAAGCAAAATGTTCTTTAACCAGCCTACATTCCCAAATTACAATTTCTTATAAATAAGGGCTGTGATACTGAAACATTAAAAAAATAGACTGAGACTGTATTACCACAGAAACATGTTTTTTTTAACACCAGAAAATTTTTGACTATACTTCACCAAGACTAACCCTCTCAGTTGACTCAGCGCAGAATTTTTTTCTGTTCTCTTTTCTTCTGCCAGTGAAGACCTGGAATTTCATAAAAAGCTTGAGATGATTGTTTATACAGATACATTTCTGCTTCATTCCACAAACCTGGCTTTTACTAGACAATGGACAAAAAAAAACACAAAGTTTTTTTTTGTCCATTCTTTGTATCACATCTAGACTTAAGTCTAACTAAACAACCACTTAATGCTTAATGAATTTTGCTCTTTCTTGTGTCAGCAAGCACAAAAAAAGATACTTTGAGCAGTAATCCATTGTAAAGTACAAGAAATGTAGGAGTATCCTGCTCATTACCTCCTGAAGGACTCTTCAGTGTAAAAGAAAAAATAACAAGGAAAATGATCAATAAAACACATAAACACACAAACATTAACAAGCAGGTGATAACAGACAGTACCAGAAAACTTATCAGCTACTAAGAGAAAGAACAAGATTTGGATAACCGTACTTCTATTTATGTGATTGCTTTTGGCAGCTGCAGGAAAAAGGCCCTGGCCCTGTGCAGCCAGTTGCATTAGTGTTCCCTGTGTCTGTGCACCCCTGGGATGCTCACTCAGCCTTGCTGCTGGTGAAACATGTAAACAGAACAGCAGCAGCTACATCCATCCAGATGGAACGTAAAGACCTCATGGGTCTTGCAGTGCATTTTGCACTTCAGCACCTGGAAGGAGAAATCCTTAGCTTCCTGAGTCCATTAGACCTGGTAGGCAATCATAACATTCCTAGCAGCCATAACTAAAAATACTGGGGAAAAAAAAAAAAATTTGACTATTCTGTATTTCTACAGAGATAAATTAATACTTGGGAAAGGTTCATGTTTGTGTATTTCAACAAGTACATTAATCACTATTCTCATTTCTGTAGATGTGAAATAGAAGCTTTTATTCCCATTGCAATAACACTGCATCTGTGCTAATACTCCAGAGTTAAGTATTAAACAGGTAGAAAAATAATTTAGCTTAAGGAGAGAGAAAAAGAAGTCATACTTACTTCATAGGATTGTTTTCTGGCAGATAGTATATCAAGTCTCTCATGGTCATCTTAGAACGATCTGGTGGAGAACGCCCTTCGATTATTGGGGGCCTGTGTTTCAACTTCTTCCATACAAAAAATAAAAACAAACCCACTCAGATTCACCCTGGAAGTACTTTACATTTCACAAATTAATATTTTTGTTTGCTTATAAAGTACCCCATTCAGGGAGTTCTATTGTTCACACACACACACCACCACCAAGAACAAAAATACGATTATATTAAAAGTGTCCCTTTGTCAAGAGGGCATCAGAGACAACCTTTCAGAGAAATCCACCATCTGGCAGAAATAAATGTTAAAGTTATTCAGAATTACAGAACTCAGACAATGATCCACTTGAAACACTATGAGAAATACCAAATTCCAAGCTTCTTACAGCACACTTCCCTACTTAATACCAACTGTGAAACTTTAAAATTCGAATGCTGACTATAAAATAATACCAGGTGTAATGTCAAAAAGACCTGTGGGTCTAATCAAATGAAGCAATACACAATTTCTTGTGAAATTCATATTATTAGTGGACAAAGTTCTACTACTGCTTCTAAACAGAACAAACCCATATGGAGTTATGAGGTATCACAGACTATTAGCACTGAGCAGCTGATGACCACCAGAAACCACTAATGCAAAGAGATAATACATGTTAGGTGAATCACACGCCTTGCCCTTTACAAACCAGCACAGCTCAGCACAGAGGTCTTACCATCCGCTCTTTCTTCAGCTCTTCTTTAAGCATTTCTCTTAACTTCCGAGCTTTGAGGATCCTTTCACGGTCGGAACACGTTCGTTTTTCTTTTTCAGGAGAAGGTTTCATAGGAAGCTTTTCCTCCTGTGTTTCTGATCTCTCCTGTGTTGGTCTCTCCTTGAGGGGAGAGGGTACATTCTTCTGCAAACTGTCATCATTTTTCTGAGCAGCCACACCTACAGTTTGCTCTTTATTCACCGATTTCTTTAGCGGTGAAAACTGTGGCACTTGTGGCACAGGTGTTTTCTTCTCAGGAAGCACGGGAGACTTTAAAGAGCTCTCAACACTACTCTTTTCTGGTGTGGGGGAATCCTTCTGAAATGAAACACCGCCATCAGGAGCCTGTGATGTTCGCCTCTGCAGTCTTGGTGCAGAACGCTGAGCAGATGAAGGTCCAGCTCTGGGTTTGACAAGATTTGGCATGGTGGAGATCCGTTTTCTTCTCTGCGTAGGCATCTCTGCAGGTTTACTAGCTTCCCCAGCACCACTGGAACCATCAGCCTTGTCATCGCTGGAAAATTTAAGAGATTATTCTGAAGGACTTTATGGTGACAGATTTTTCACTCTCACTTTCGAGATATTTTTATGGGTAAATCAGTATAAACCCCCTGCTACAGGAAAACTGTTATATACAAAAAGCAATGCTAGAATCAAGGTGTAGCTGGTACTTCTTCATAAACCAATCAGCTATAAGAGCTGGTATATTATTTTCTAATATTAATTACTCATCAACTAGCCCACAACAGTAACATGTCCCCACCCCCCACTTCTTTTTTTGGAAGGCTCTCTCCTTTCAGCTAAAAATACTGGTACAATAAAGCTTTATAAAAAATAAATAAAAAATATAAAAAATAAATATATAAATAAATATATCACATAACACAGGTGATATACTAAAAACATTTTAATAAAGCTGTATGTCACAAGCAGTTTGATGATTTTTATTACAATAAATGTTAACATTCCTCTTACATACACATTTGCAAGTAGATGATATGTAAACTGTGAATTTCAGAAAAACTTCAGCAGGCAAACTGGCTGCTGCTTACACTTAACACATCAACAACTCTCAGCTTCCCTGGAAAGCCTTCTTATATAAGTACTTTTCCCATCATTTACACAGAAATAACTTTCAAAGTGCAAGTAAAATTGCGAACAATTATGATCTCCCCAAATCTGCTGACTCCTCCAGGGTTCAGCTTCATGGCTGTTGCTCACAGTAAGACTGCAGTAGAATTATAACTGAGTCATAAAGAGGGGTTTTTTTTAATTTTACATTGGAACCATGCCCTGTTTCTGTATATGAGGACAACCACACCCATAGTTCACTTAGCCATTTTCAAAAATGATCAGGTGCAAATGCCTTTCAAGGAATATAAGAAAAGCAGAGAAACTTTTCTAAATCCTCTCCAGCTATTGCCTGTGATTCAGGCAAATGCTGCATATAATGGGTTTCATCAAGCAGCCTCTGTTAAATGGCTGAATCAGTTTGTCCCACACTGTGAGTTCATAAACATTTCTAGTACACAGAACATCACTGGAAGAGGAGTTTAGAGGGGTCATTGCACGGTGCCTGCCTGTGTGTTTTGAATGAGATCCTTGCAAATTCCTTTCAACACCCTCTGTTCTTTGTACAGCAGGAGACAGTGGAAAGTAATTCTTTTTCACCTTCTCCGTACCACCTGTGTTTTGTGGAGTTTTTAATCAGAGTGCCACGTTGGATTTCTGAACAGTTAAACACAATTTAGCAGAAACTGTATGAAAAAAAAAAAAGAATTATCTTATGCTTTGAAAATTTTCACTTCCCTGAAAACAAAACAGGGTAAAGTAACCAATGCTACAGACACAGATTTGAGCAGCTGAGAAGGAATGCTGTGATTTGGAAGGATAGATATGCAAGACATTTTCGCATTTACCTTTACTTTTCTTGCACACTACACAACACCAAATACCTCACCCAGGAAATCAAATTGTGTGACTTCTGTCAAATCCACTCTTCCTTAGAGACAGAGACACCCAGACAACCAATTTCTAAAATGCATCACCTAGAAAGATATCTAGAGCTCCCCAAAAAGCCAACACTGTCTGCTCTGCAAAAAATCCCTATTTGCTCTCTCCTGTTTGGTTGCTGTACACCTTCAGAAGCAACCAAGAACTTTAAGAACCAGCTTTTTAGTGGAACTTAAGGTGATCAAATAGGGGAAGGAAGGGAGCAGCTCTCACCCATGCCTTTTCTACTTTCTCCCAGGACTGTAAGTTCCCCTGGGAGTCTCCCAGCATTTCAAGTTGGATACCACCTTCTCTGTCCAGCTGAGTTGTGGAACCCACCATAGTTCTCCAGTGGTTCACAGGTCTCTTCTTCTAAGAAGAATATTTTCCAAATCCACACATCTCCAAAGAAGCTCACCCTTAAACACATCCCACACCTTCCAAAGTGTTGGCAAACACATTCAACATGAACAATTTTAAAACAGTTTTAATTGTCTTACAATTGCTCTTCTTTTATTTTTTTTTAACAGAAGGGTATGGTTTTGTGCATTTGTAAGCTTGGGTATTTTTTATATTTATTGAGAAAAATATTTTATGTGCCTGTTACTTAAAATCACAGAATATCCTGACGTAGAAGGGACCCACAAGGATCACCAAAGTCCAACTCCTGGCCCTGTGCAGCCCCAAGAATCGCATCATGTGCCTGAGAGCTTCCTGAACTCTGTCAGGCTTGGCACTGTGACCACTTCCCTTGGGAGCCTGTTCAATGAACCACCCTTTGGGTGAAAAACCTTTTCCTGATATCCAACCTGATTCAGCTTCATGCCATCCCCTCAGGTCCTGTCACTGATCTGCAAAAAAGAGATCAGTGCCTGTCCCTCCTCTTCCCCTCCCAAGGAAGTTGTAACTGCAATGAGCTCTCCCCTCAGCCTCCTCTTCTCCAGCTGAACACACCAAGTGCCCTCAGCCGCTCCTCACACAGCTTCCCCTCAAGGCCCTTCACCATCTTCACTGCCCTCCTTTGGACACTCTCTAATGGCTTAATATCTTTCTTATATTGCAGTGCCCCAAACTGCACACAATATTCAAGGTGAGGCTGCCCCAGTGCAAAGCAGAGCAGGACAATCCCCTCCCTCGACCAGCTGGTGATGCTTTGCCTGATGCCCCCAGGACAGGGTTGGCCCTCCTGGCTACCAGGGCACTGCTGACTCAGATTCAACTTGCCATTGACCAGGACCCCCAGGTCCCTTTCCATGGCACTGCTTTCCAGCATGTCTGTACAAACATCCAGGATTGCCCCATCCCAGATGCAGGTCTGGCATTTCCCCCTGTTGAACTTCATATGGCTGGTGATTGCCCAGTCCTCAATTTGTTGAGGTCTCTCTGCAGGGCCTCCCTGCCTGTGAGGGTGTCAACAGCTCCTCCCAGTTTTGTGTCATCTGCAAATGTGCTCAGTATCCCTTCCAGTCCTGTGTCCAAGTCATTTGTGAAGATGTTGAAGAGCACAGGGCCCAACATGGAGCCCTGTGGAACCCCACCAGTGACAGGTCAGCAGTCTGATGTCACCCCATTCACTGTTACCCTCTGTGCTCGACCCGTGAGCCAATTGTTCACTCAGCACATGATGTGTTTATCCAGCTGTGGGCTGGACAGTTTGCCAGAAGGATCCTGTGAGAGACAGGATTGAAGGTTTTACTGAAATCCAAAAAGATTACATCAACTGGCTTCCCCTTATCAGTGGGTGGGCTACCTTGTCATAAGGTTATATGGCAAAGCTCTGTTTTTTAAGCCATGAGAATAGATCAGAGTGCCTTTCCGAATAGCACCGGTATCTAGTTTTGAAACCCAATGTTATATTCCACTGAAGCACTGGTTAAACTACAAATATGAAAGTCTTTAACAAATCTCCTGAATTAGCAACAATATCACAAAAGTGAAAAATAGTAAGAATGTTTTCATTTAAGAACAAAGTATCAGATTGCAAAAGATCTAGTAACATAATCTTTGTAACAAGTGAATTTTATAAATAAAACCTGAAAGAAAAACATCCTTAAAGCACAATGCAAAAGAAGATGTAAGACACAAGCCGAAAAAGAGGCAGCATGGGTTTCCTAAAGACATGTCATGCCAACTACTCTGATATCAGAATTTCTAGTCACAAGAAACAGAAGACTGTAAGACCTTGTCACACTGTTATAAAGGACAAGCTTCAACCAAAAGAATAGAGATATTCATAAAAGATGCAGAACTTAAAAGAAGTAGGAAGGTTGTTGTGAAAAGTAAACATCAGACTGGGGAAATTTCCTGAAAAACTGGTCTGTACTGCTTTTGAGGGGACAGAGTTACAGTAGCTGATCTATTGTTTCAGATTTGTGACCACAAGAGTGTTGACAGCACACCCAGGTTCCAGCTATTGCTGAGCAATGATTAAATAGCACCAAGGTCTTCTCTCATGGTGCCCCATGACCCAGCAGACTGGGGATGGGCAAGAAGCTGGGAGGCAACACAGCGGGGACAGCTGACACCAGATGACCAAAGGGATATCCCATGTGGCATCATGTTCCTCAGTAAAAGCCGGGGAAGAAGGAACACAGGAGGACATCTGGAGTTACGACGTTTTTCTTCCCAAGCAACTGTTACGTGTAATGGAGCCCCACTTTCCTGGAGACAGTAAAATACCTGCCTGATGATGGGAAGTGGTAAATGAGTTCCCAATCTTGCTTTGCCTACTTGCACATCTTTTGCTTTATATATTACACTATCTTTATCCTGACAAGAGGATTCTTGCACTTTTGCCCTTTTGATTTTCTGCCCATCCCATGGGGCTGGGAGGGGGCAGGGGCGTGATGAAGCAAGCAAAGGCTTAGCATCCAGTCAGGGTTAAACTACAACAGGAAGGTCCTCAAGGACTGGTCCTACGACCAACTTTACAACGTGCTTGCGCTACAATAACTGAATAGTCGAAAAGGAAAAATACTAGAAAGTCTTCCCTTGTTAATGCACGGAGAGGTGAATACAAAGGAGTAAGTGCTGCAGGAATGCAGAATCAAAGTCATCCGATTACGGAGCACAAGGAATTTTTGCTGTACACAGCAAACCGGGGCTCCCGGCTGCTGCAGAGCCAGAAACCGAGTGCCAGACCACACCGGGTCCCTGCTTCGCAGTTTTATCTTACAGAATCAATTAGGTTTGAAAAGACCTCCGAGATCATCGAATCAAACCTACGGCCAAACACCAATATGCCAACTAGACGACAGCACCAAGTGCCACGTCTAGTCTTTCCTTGAACCCCTCCAGGGACGGTGACTCCACCACCTCCCTGGGCAGCCCATTCCAAGCACCTGCTGCGGGACCGCAGCTCAGGTTCTGCTTAAGCTGCGAACGCGTCAAACACCCAGAAGTCGTTGTCCGACAACCACGTACGCGCTGACACCGGGCACCGACCGCGGGGTCTCCCAGGAGCTCTTCGGGACGAGCCCCCAA